ATAGGACATTTTTTAAAAATTCTGTACATTGGCTTGGCTACTGGAAAGTTTCCCTAGAAGACTATGTCCTTGGGAAGAATATCCCGAGCAGAGGGGAACACACTAGATTTGAGGGCCTCCGGCCATGAGACCTTTGCAGAAAATACCAACCGTGTTTTATGTTAGAGTGGTTGTCTTGTCTACTTAATAAATCAGGAAAAATACATTAAGCTAAAGAAAAATGGGAGCAGGGGTCGTGGCACATGCCTGTAATCACAGCACTCAGGAGGCTGGGGCAAGAGGATTGTCAGGAGTCCCATGCCAGCCTGGTATACAGTCATTCGAGGTCAGCCTGAACTACATTGTGAGAGCCTGCCCCCCGCATATATACAACACAAAAAGCGAAAAATGATTTTTTTTCAAATAATCCCTCAATTGAGCTAAGGGCAGTATAGCAGCTTGACAATGTTGTGCCTGAGGCTGAGTTTACTTTTCATTATTTTTAAGTGTGCCTCGTTATGTTTACTCTTTAATAATTTCATTTCTCTCAAATCTTTTTATTGTATGGAATAGAATGCACACAGGAAAATTAACGGATCACATAGAGTACTGGATTTCAAATTGTTTTTTTTTTTGGTACCAGGGATCAAACTCGGGCCCTTGCGCTTGCAAGGCTGGCGGTGGAACTACTGAGCTAAATACCTGGCCCTGGATTTCAAATTGTATGTTTAAGTGAAAGTACCTTTTCTTGTTTCTGAAAACATTCCAGTGCATAAAAGAAATTAGTGAAGGTACTATATTGGAAAAGGGGACTCTCTTACCATCTCCTTCCCTGCTTTTCTCCAGAATATGGCAGATTCGGTTACGTCAGAGCACGAAGGGAGCTTGAAAAATATGAAAGATCGCAAGAGCTGGGACTGGAAGTGAAAGTTTTCTTGAACCCTGGCCCTAGTGAGGTCGTCCATAAGCCCTTGTGAGAAGTAAAAATGAGTGACAGAGTGAATGTCCAAATCAAACAATGTCTTTATGGCAGGAGCTGTCAAATTATTTTTGTCCAGCACTGTTTAAAATGAAAACTTTATTGGCAATAAACATGCAACTGTTTTTCCAGTAATGTGGTGCTTCCCCTAAAGCAGTTTCAGAAGTAACATCTAGACTTGGGGAGAGAAGGAACATTGCAGTTTTACGAGTCTTGCTTCACATACATTGTCTAATGTAAATGACCATATCCCGGGCTGCAGTCACATCTTGGTGATTCGGCCCTTAATTTCATATTCAGTGTACTCTTCTTTATTTCCTCTGTCCCTTGGTACAAGACCCAAATCAGTGCAGCAAGTGCTTGTTATTGCAACAAATAATATGGTGATGATTGCAGAATCCCAGTTTAGCGCACTGGCTGGATCTAGGGCAGTGTCCCATGGAAATATAATCAATATAGTAAGGGTTGATAAAACACATGCAGCAAAAATGAAATGGCCATCTGGACTTGGTGGAAATACGCCTGTAATCCTATTTATTCCTGGTGCAGAGGGAGGAGGCTCTTGATTCTGAGGTCAGCAATCTAGTGAGACCCTGTCCCTAAATAAAAAGCAAATGGGGATGGGAATGTAGCTTAGTACTCTCTGGGTCCAACCCAATAATAAATGAATGTATAAACAAAAATAAATAAATTTTAAAATCGATTTCTATGGAGGCAGTTGTATGCTGCATCTGAATTCATCACTTGGGCCTCACAGGAATTTCCGTGGAATTTAGTGTTTAGTCTACAAACAGCAGAATGCTGTCCTGAGTCTGTCACCAACAAGTCAAAGGATCCTCACTAAATGAACTGGCCTGGCAGACAGATGTTTTTCCTTCTGTGGTGAGGTCTACGTGCATGCCAGGAGAACACTCTTCTGCTGAGCTGTATTTCCAGCCCATGGAACTGGTTCTTATGAAACGTTAAAAGCATAGGAAATAAGCAAGATCTGGTAGAAAAATGTTGCTAACATTCCAATGCTGTTAAACCACTGATGGACATTAAGAAAAATGACTACACAGTACAATCACCTTATATGCCTTATATGTCCTTTGGACTAGTTTGGTTTTCGATCTGTATAGATGATAACTGACATTACAAGGTCTCTTAAGATAAATGAATCTGTTGCTAGAAAAAGAAAAGGGTGAGGAGGAAGAGTGAAATAATTGAAATGTGTTATGTACATGTGTTGATTCCCCACAGTGAATGTAATCATAATGGACTACAAACATGTGCTGATAAAGAAGAAAACTGACTACCAATGTCATTTTGTTAGTGATTGTGTAGAACACCCAGTCAAGCGCTGCTTAACCTTTCAGCGGCAGATATTTAAAGAGTGAATCAAACACTGTAGCTCCTGCACTCACAAAGGAGCACGGTGATAAGTTGTGCTTGCAATACGAAATACTGTATTCTGCTTTCTCTTTCTTTTTTTTAGACGGGGTCTATGTAGTTCAGGCTGGCCTTGAACTTACTATGAGCCCAGACTGGCCTCAAACTTGCGGTGAGCCTCCTGCCTCATCCTCCCCAGGGCTAGGATTACAGTTCTGCTCCAGCATCTCTGGCTACAGCAGAAATGATATTTTGAAAGTAAGTTGTTTTTTTTTTTTTTTTTTGTACAAGGGGGTTCAGTTTGGGCCTGACCTATC